GGCGGGGCGGGGCCTCGGAGCAGCCCCGCCCCCTCCCTGGCGGCGGGGCCGGGGCCTCCGCCCAAGGTCGAAGCACCGGAGTCCGGGAGGGCCCGAAGGCCCAGATCCACATGGCTGGGGCGGCTCGCGGCTGGTCGGCTCTGACCCGGGCAGCGCCGAAGGCCACCCGGGAGCTGTCCAGTTCCCTTGCCCTGAGGGCTCCAGCGAGAAACCATGCAGACACCCTCCGGAGGCCGCAATAAATCCTCTTGTCTTTATATTGAGCCACATGATAATTAATCACAATTTATATCATTTTGCCTACGGAAGTTGCGGGAACCATGGACCTTCACACAGTCAGCAATCAGGGGTTGTAATCAAGCTTTTACTGCTAAGAGGTAATAACTACCTCAGGGATGGGGCACTAATGGTTGAGCACTATAAAAATAAGCTGTTCCCTGTACAAGAGTATTCCTTTCCTTCCTCCGAAGAAGTTTCGCCAGGCATATTCTAACTGTGCAAGTGGACAGCACCGCACAGATATCCACAGGCACTTCAAACAACAAGATGAAATCGCTCCTAACCCCTGTCCCACCTCACCTATTACAAACACACACACACACACACACACACACACACACACACACACACACACACACAAGCAATTTCTGTGCTTCCATTCAGTCAATGGCACAGCATCTTCAGACGTTCAGGCTAGAAACCTCAGTCCTATTCAAATCCTTATTCTCCCTCATGCCTCACATCTAACCAAATTCTATTGCTTCTACAATAGATTTTCTCCATTACCTCTTGAATTAATCCCATTTTCCCCACTTCCACAGCATTTACCATCAGCATTTCTTGTTTGGACCTTGGCAATACCCTCCTAACTTTGCTTATTTTTCATATCCCTCTCCTCTATTCTACATCCTGCTGCCAGTTTTTCTCCCAAAATACAGATATTGATGATTATGCTACTACCCTGTTCAGTAATCTTTACATAAAGGTCCATTACATAAAGGTTCAACTCCTCAGCCTATGATTTCAGGCCCTCCACATTTGAATCCCTTCCTACTTTGCCAAGCCCTCCATCCTATCTTATTGAATTAAAACTCTCAAAACAATAATATTAAACTTACTAATATTTCCATGAGAACTTCTTGTAGCTTTCATTTTGTATGTAAGGAAAACTGAGGCATAAATGGGTTTAAGTTACTGCCCCAACAAGGGTTACTTTCCAAAATGGTGTAGAGAAGAACTTTATTTTTTGTCTTTTGTTTCTTGTTTCCCAGTGCACTGTCATGACTACTAAAGTTGTCTTTTTCACTGGGAGTCACGAGGCATCATGCAGTGTCAGTGTAGTATGAGGAAGTGTCAGGAGGAATGTTCCAGTAATGTGTTACTGATAAAAAGTGCCAATATCTCCTAATGGTTTGTTTTTGGATTGAAGGTAATGCCTGTAAAGCTCTACTTCTAGGTGAAAAGAGCAGAATGAAGCTACAATTAGTGAGCGGGATTTGCATACAACTGATAAGAGACTCAAGAACCACATCAAATGCCTCCAATCATTAATCAAGAATTTTAAATTTCAACATTTAAACAAAGTCCAGAAACACTGTAATTTCTAAATGCCGAACCTTTTTATTTTCTTGGCAGCTGGCTGGTACAGGGATCCAAACCCTTGATGTTGGTGTTGCAAGGCTGTGCTCTAACCAAATGAGCCAACCAGCCAGCCTACCAAATGCTAAAACATTAAAATCACTAATTATGGGGAAAAAAGACAGGATTTAAAATACAAGTAGCATGACTAAAAGTATCAACAAAGACATGTAGTAATTACTGCAGCTGTACTCCGTAACTGAAAAGTCACATGAGTAGAGAACCCAAACTTGAAATAATAAAGTTGTTTATTAATACCTGAGGTTTCTTTCTGAGCAAAGGTCTCATGCTATGTTTTGTGAATGATAAAAAGGAATTGCAGTAACTGATATTAACAACTATAAAAAAGCCAAGTTATAGAAGTTAAGGAATTTCAAAAGAAAAGAAATTAAGATATCACATGACAGATTTCTATACTACTTATAAAAGAAATCAAGAAGATATTAAAGCTGAACCACTCCTCTAATATTTTAATCAAATGATCAATTCTCCATCTTGTTCTGATAGATTTCTATGAAGTTATCTACTTGTATACAAATGTCATGAGCAAATTATGTTGAATCGCAATCTGATTACTTGATAGATTCAGCTACATAAAAGTAAGATGTTATGATTGTGAATAGTATGTCAACAGTGTGCTTCAAAAACAAATGTATTGGTTTTTGACAGATATAGAAAAAAAAAAAATCCTAAAATTCATATGGAACCACAAGAAAGCCCAAATAGCCAAAGCAATCTTTAGCAAAAAGAACAAAGCTGGAGGTATCACACTACCTGACTTCAAAATATATTACAAAGCTATAGTAACCAAAACAGTAAAGTACTGTGTGAAGGTTAATTCTAGGTATCAACTTGGTTAGATGAAGGAATGCTGAGAAACCTGGTAAGGCAATCTTTTTAGGTGTGTCTGTGAGGGTGTTTCCAGCAGAGATTAATATGAGAGTCTGATTGGATTGGGTGGGAAAGGCCCACCCTCAATGTGGTCGGAAACCATCCAATCAGCTGGGGGTTCAGAGAGAACAAAAGATGGAGGACAGAGGTGAAGCTCTCTCTCTCTATCTGCTGGAGCTGGGATACACTCTTCTCTCCTGCCCTTGGACATGAGAGCTCGAGATTCTTCAGCTTTTGGGTTCCAGAACTTACACCAAGGACACCATCAGCTTCCCTGGTTTTGAGGCCTTTGGACTTGGACTGAGCCATGCTACCGGCATCCAGTTTATAGACGGCCTGTCGTGGAACTTTTCTTCATAGTCACGTGAGCTAATTTCCCTAATAAAATCCCTCTCATATAATTATAATGTATCCTATGGATTCTGTCTCTCTAGAGAACCTTGACTAATACATACTGGCATAAAAATAGACACATAGACTAATGGAACAGAAATAAATCCACACACTCATAGCCAACTGATTTTTGAAAAAGGCACCGAGAGCCCACGTTGGGACAAGGACAGTCTCTTCAACAAATGGTACTGGGAAAATGGAATCTCCACATGCAGAGGAGTGAAACTAGGGGGTTGGCCCAGTTAGCCCTTGCTGATAACACCAAGGTCCAAGGTTTGATCTCTGTACTGTCCAGCCACTCAAAATAAAAATAAAAAGAATGAAACTAGACCCTTATCTGTCACCATATACAAAAATGAACTCGAAATGGATTACAGACTTAAATGTATGACCGAAACTATAAAGTTACCAAAAGAAAACATGAGAGAAACAGTTCGTGACATTGGTCTAGGCAAAGATTTTTTTGAATAAGACCACAAAAGCACAGGCAACAAAAGCAAAAGTAGACAAATCAAACTAAAAAGCATCTGCACAACAAAGAAAACAGTCAACAGAGTGAAGAGACAACATGCAGAATGGAAGAAAATATTTATAAACTATGCATCAGACCAGGGGGTCATATCCAGAATACATAAGAAATTCAAACAACTCAATAGCAGAAAAACAAATAATCTGATTTTAAAATAGGCAAAAGACTTTAATAGACTTTTCTATTTATTTATTTGATGGCTGGGTGGTACAGGGATGGAACCCCGAACCTTGGTGTTATAAGAACCATGAATAGATTTTTTCTTAAAAGAAGAAGTAGGAATGGCCAACAGGTATATGAAAAAAAAAATGTTCAACATCACTAATCATCAGGGAAATGCAAATCAAAACCACAATAAATTATCACCTCACCCCAATTAGAATGACTACTGTTATCAAAAAGACACAAAATAGCAAACACTGTTGTGAATGTGGAGAAAAGGCAACTCTTAAGCACTGTTGGTAAAAGGTAAACTAGTACAGCCATTATGGAAAACAGTATGGAGGTTCCTCAGAAAATTAAAAATGGAAGTACCATATGATCCAGTAATCCCATCACAGGATATATATTCAAAGGAAATGAAATCAGTATGTCAAAGACATATCTGCACTCCCATGTTCATTGCAGCACTATTTACAGTAGCCAAGATACGAAAGCAACCTAAGTGTCCATCAACAGATGAATGGATAAAGAAAATGTAGTATATGTGAGTATACTCAATGGAATACTATTCAGCCATTAAAAAGAATAAAACCCTGTCATTTGTGCAACATAGAAGGACGTGGAGGACATTATGTTAAGTGAAATAAGCCAGGCACAGAGAGACAAATACTGAACAATCTCATATGTAGAATATAAAAAAGCCGATCTCATAGAAGTAGAGAGTAGAATAGTGGTTATCAGAGGCTGGGGAAGGGACAAAGGATAGGGATAGGGAGATATTGGTCAATGGGTACGAAGTTACAGTTAGATAAGGTGGATCAATTTTGGTGTTTTATTGCACAGTAGGGTGACTATAGTTAACAATATTGTGTCATATATTTCAGAATAGCTAGAAGAGAGGATTTTGGATGCTCTCACCACAAAGAAATGATAAATGTTTGAGGTGACGAGCATGCTAAACACCCTGATTTATCATTACACAATGTACATATACATATATTGAAACATCACACTGTACCCCATAAACATGTACAATTAATATGTGTCAATTATGGGCCGGCCCGGTGGCGCACTGGAGAGTGCACCACCTGGGAGCGCGGCGGCGCTCCCGCCAAGGGTTCGGATCCCATGTGGAGACCGGTTCCCGCTCACTGGTTGAGCGCGGTGCAGGCGCAACACCGAGGGTTGCGATCTCGTTGCCGGTCCCCGGTGCGGGTGCGACACCGAGGGTTGCGATCCCGTTAACGGTCAGTAAAAAAGATTAAAAAAGGGAAAAAAAAATATGTGTCAATTAAAAATAAAATTAAAATAAAAAAGTAGATGGGAATGGAAAGTGTCTTTACTAGAAGCAATTATCTGAAGTCCTTCAAAGTTACAGACCAAAAACCACTGTTATATAATAAATAAAAAATTATTATATAATAAAAATTATTATAAATAAAAAAATTAATGTATTGGAAGATTTTAGAGAAAAATAAAATTTTAGAGAATAATAAGTGAGTTAGTTTTAAATTTCAAAAATCAAAAATAGTACTTGAATATTTTTGTCAAGCAAAATTCAAAAAAGTTTTAATTTTTTTGACAAAATTTTTAGAGGAAAAACTTTTAAAATATAAAGTGGTAATTATTTAAGTAGATGTAAAAGAAAAATGTTTAATTCCTTTCCCTTTACCATATTTTGATAAAAGAAATTTTCACCAAAACCTATTTTTACCAATTCCTTAGTTCTTCAAAATCTAGGAGATCCTTTTTTGTTTTGGACAACCTTTCCACTCTAATTCTTCCCTCCTCCTCCATGGCTACAACAAAATTCTCTATAGGAAGATTGCTGAACTCCATTTGTTCCGGGCTGTATTGTATCAATCAGGATTCCTTTAGCTGCAAGTAACAGATAACATTAATTCAAATAAACTCGAGTGGTAAGGAAATTTATTATCTCAATAAAAAAAAAATTAAGAAATAAGGTGTCTCAAGGCATAGTACAATCAGTGGCTTAATGGTGTTAATAAGGATCCAGATTCCTTCAAACTTTCCACTCTGCCACTTTCAATGACAACCTCATTGTAAGGCTGGTTCTCCTCATGGTCGAAGATCACTTCAGCAGTTCTAGGTTTCATATCCTGATGAGATAGGAGGCGCTCAGTTTCCCCGGACCCAGATTTCAGGACACTTCTGAGTTTCAAGCCACTCCCTGAGGTCTCAGGCCTCTCCTCTGGAACCTCCCCTAGAGGAAAGCTACTGTGGCCAGTTAGATCTACTTTCAGCACCATCATGGGGAAAATGAGACCACAGGGGGCTGGCTTAAGCAAATCCAGTAGCTGGCCATGCTCAGTAGAGAAGGGTTATACAATCCTGGTAGCTGAATGACCTTCCACTAGAGGTGCCAAAGAGTACAGAATATTCTTGAATATGCCTGGTGCATGTGATAGAATTTGACCAATGAATGTGCTCCAGAAAGAGACCAACTGAGCATGTGCATGACTAATGTTACATAACTGGGAACCACCCCTTTAATTGAATATTCATTAGATAGTGAAACTGTAAAAGCTGAATCCCAGCAGAAGGCTGGGCTGTTGCTCACTTCTCTGGAGCCAGCCTGCACTCTGTCTGTGGAGTGTTTCTTTTTGTGTCAAACTTACTCAGTAAGCAGCTGCTCATTCTCTTGAGCCAGCCTGCACTCTGTACTGAACATTGAATATGCATTTCTTACTTTTGTATTAAACTTGGTGTGGGCCCTGCTTAGTCTCTGGAGCTAGGCCGCACGCTCTCTGTGAAATCTGTATCTCTTATTCATTATATTAAACCTGTTCTCACTTTCTACTGTGACTCTGCCCTTGAATTCTTTCCTGTGGCCTAGTCAAGAATCTGGTAAGAGGATGGGTTGGGTTCAGGCCAACTATCAGGCCCCCCAAACCCTACCTCCGACATCACTGACATAACATCATAAGCAGAAAAACCTGCTCAGAAGTGCCACCCCCTACCCCCAATAACTCTCATGTCTCACATGTCAGCACTTAAACAATCCCTGACAAGTGGACTGGCTTAGAGTCCAAGACTTAGCCCTGTAAGGATTTATCCCTGGAGCTAGCCTCCCCAAACCAAAAGGCTTCTTAGAAGAATGTGGCACTTGAATAAAACTGGAGTTGTGAGGAAGGAGAGGAGGGGAAACAGATGCTGAGTAGAAAGCAGTGTCTCCAATAAATACTAAAGAAACAAATTTAAGGCTAACGTGGATCATGGGACAATAGCCATCAACAAAGACATGTTATCTGACACTGCCCCCATCTATTAAGTGCAATGATAGCTCTGACAAAATGAACCACTCATAATTCACTACTTGAAGATGATCACTTTTCATATATTGGCAAATATCCTTTTAATGTTTTTCCATGCATATGCCTCATGTAGTATTTTTCTGACATAATAAAGATACTATTTAATGGCATTATATCATATTACCAAGTATATTTCTATTCTTCAGCATGAGTTTTTTTTTTTTTTTTTTAAAGATGACCGGTAAGGGGATCTCAACCCTCAGCTTGGTGTTGTCAGCACCACACTCAGCCAGTGAGCGAACCGGCCATCCCTATATGGGATCCGAACCCGTGGCCTTGGTGTTATCAGCACCGCACTCTACCGAGTGAGCCACAGGCCGTCCCATTCAGCATGAGTTTTAATAACTGTATAATATTCTATCAGCTAGATATATCAATGTATTTAACCAATTCTCGTTGTTTGAAATTAACATTGTTTATATTTTGGTTTGTTATTTTAAAAAACAGTGAACAGCACATCTTAGTAGTTGAATCTTTGGAAATATCCCTGATTGTTTTCTAGATGTGCAATTATTAGGTTAAAATCTTTAAATATGTATTCCCAAATTACTCTCTAGAAATGTACTAATTTATACTCCCAACAACACTGTATGAAGTGTCCATTTTCCCCATACCATTTTCCTACATGGCTATTCTATACCTACCACAGTGTCTGCCATATAGCAGACATGAAAGAAAACATTCAATGCGTTATTTATTTAAAAGGCAAATATGGGGGCCGGCCCGGTGGCGCACTGCTACAGTGTGCCGCTTGGGAGCACGGTGGCGCCTCCCGCCGAGGGTTCGGATCCCACATACAGACCGGTTCCCGCTCACTGGCTGAGCGAGGTGCAGGCGCAACACCGAGGGTTGTGATCCCGTTGCCGGACACGAAAAAAGACAAAAAGGAAAAAAAAAAAAAGGCAAATATGGAATCACATTGTTTTAGTATGTGTTTATTGAAAGACCGGTGAATTTAAACTTTTGTTCATAAATTTGATATTTGTTATTTTTTCTTTTGAGAATTATCTATTTCTGTTCTTAGCCTGTATTTTTACTATTGCTTGGTGAAAGTTCTTTACATATCAAGGATAAAGCCTTTTGTTAAGTATGATGAAGATATATTTTTAAATTAACATTGCCTTTTAATTTTAGGTTATAATGTTTTTGATATGCACAAGTTTTTTAAACTTAATGTTCTTAGATCCATCAATCTTCTCCTTCAGGCTTTCAGTTTAGTGGTAATGCCAAGAAAGACCCTGACATCCCAAGATTATGTAAATATCCACCAATATTTGTTCTATTAACTTTTTGGATTAAAACTTATTGACTTCAGGGCCGGCCCGTGGCTCACTCGGTAGAGTGCGGTGCTGGTAACACCAAGGCCGCGGGTTCGGATCCTATATAGGGATGGCCGGTTTGCTCACTGGCTGAGCGTGGTGCTGACAACACCAAGCCAAGGGTTGAGATCCCCTTACCGGTCATCTTTTAAAAAAAAAAAAAACTTATTGACTTCAGTTAATGGACCAAATTAGATGAACAAAATAAATTTGTCAACCCTATTGGTCCTTTATCTTCCCCCATAACTTAGTCATTAAAAAAAATTAATAATTGGGCCAGCCTGTGGCTCACTTGGGAGAGTGTGGTGCTGATAACACCAAGGCCATGGGTTCGGATCCCTATATCGGGATGGCTGGTTAGCTCACTTGGGAGAGCATGGTGCTGACAAAACTAAGTCAAGGGTTAAGATCCCCTTACTGGTTGCCTTTAAAAAAATAAATAAATAAAAATAAAATTAAAATAAATACTTAATTTAAATAAATCAATAAGCAAGTAAGTAACACAGGCACCATACATGGAAGGTTAAAAAAATAAAAGTCATGTCTCAGCAGAATAAGGGCGGAAAGGCTTAGAGAAATAATCAACTCCCATTTCTCTGGGATTCAGACCTAGGAATCAGCATTAGTGGTGTACCAGCTGATCTTCATCATGGTACCTGGGAACCAAGAGAAGAAATGACATGACTTCTATAGAAACCAGATCACAGGACACATGAGAATTTATTGACTAATGTCAATAACTCTAATTCTATTTGAAAGAATTCTGTTTGGAAGTCAAAGATTATTGAACTGAACTGAAGTCAATAATTTTTTTTTTTAAATGATGACTGGTAAGGGGATCTTAGCCCTTGACTTGGTGTTGTTAGCACCATGCTGTCCCAAGTGAGCCAACCGGCCATCCCTATATAGGGATGTGAACCCATGGCCCTGGTGTTATCAGCACCACACTCTCCCAAGCAAGCCACGGGCCAGCCCCAATAATTTTTTAAATTGTGGTAAAACATATATAACATAAGAATTTCCATGTTAGAGATTTTTAAACATACAATTTCATGGAATTAATTATATTCACAATGCTGTGTGACCACTATCTCTACCTATTTCCAAAACTTTTTCATTATCCTAAACACAAACTTTGTACCGTTAAGCAATAACTTATTATTCTTTTTTGTTTTTAAAAGATGACCGGTAAGGGGATCTTAACCCTTGACTTGGTGTTGTCAGCACCACGCTCAGCCAGTGAGTGAACCGGCCATCCCTATATGGGATCCGAACCCGGGGCCTTGGTGTTATCAGCACCGCACTCTCCCGAGTGAGCCACGGGCCAGCCCTAACTTATTATTCTTTAACACACTTTCTTTTGCCTATTTTTAACATAAGTTCCTCAAGGGAGTGACATAGAGGGCAGTTTAAGTTTGCTCCATGTCTAGAACAGCTGCTTATATTAAAGTGTTTGTAAGTTACATTTCGATATTGATGATTTGGTGGCCTCATTTCTCTATCACACAGCTGCAGTGGAGGCACAAGATAGAAAACCTAGGGAAAATATGGAAAAGAAAAGTACCTAAAACATGATACCCGTAAGTGGTCAGCAAAATTAATATAAGGGCTCAAACTTGAGATTCCGCACCTCCTCCCCCAAGCCCGAGATGAGAAATGCTTTAGGAGAAGAGAAACAGAGCTCTATTTAGATATATTTTATCTTATCTTTTATCATATTCTATTATTTCACTTGAGGATCCAGTCCTACAGAAAAAGCAACAAGAGTGCAAATCTTCAGAACAATTATCTGAAATAAAATACCTGGCATTATGACTTTATTTGCACTCTAGGTACAGAGGAGCAGGCTATTAACTTTACCATCCATTCCTGTCAGAAGATTTCTACCCAGAGATAACTCTGATTTTTTTAAGTCAGAAAACTTCCAAATAACTAAAATATTTAATTTCCCCAAATTTCATTTTTAGTCAGATTTTCAAGAATATACCCATTGTGCAACCTAAGACTTACCTGTATTTTTTTTAAATCACAGAAGAAGAGGAAGGGCCGGCCCGTGGCTCACTTGGGAGAGCGTGGTGCTGACAACACCAAGTCAAGGGTAAGATCCCCTTACTGGTCATCTTTTTTTTAAAAAAAGAAAAAAAGAAAGAAAGAAAGAAAAAGAGGGTTTTAAAAGATTTTACAAAATTATTGGACTCTATGCAGCACATAACCCATTGTTTCTTTAGTCAAGAATTTCTACCTTCAGGATAAAAATTTCTACCTTCTCTCATATCCAATAAAAAAACCCCACAACACTTCTCCCACATAAAATCATCCCACTACTTCTCTAGAGTTGTTTTTCCCTCCCTTTTCCTTTCATACGTGCGTGTGTATGTATGTGCATGAAGCTTTTTCACTTCCACTTTTCGCTGTATTTTGGAATCTGGAATATTTTTTAAAATTCTTGTCTGTAGGGCCGGC